AGAGTGTGGATCCTGGAAGGAAGGTGGCCATGCTCCAGTGGACGGCAGGTCCTACACCTATGTGCATATGGGCAGCACTAACTGGACTAGTGAGTATTCAAAAGAGAAAAGAGTTCATGGGGTTGGCAGGGAAATGTGGTGGGGAGGTTTGGGGAGAGTCTGGTGGATGGATATGATCAAAATACATTGTACACATGTATGGAATTCTCAAACATAATTTTTAAGAGGATGAGCCAGCAGATGGCACAGTGGGTAAGGGGCATGCTGCCAAACGTGACCATGTGAGTTCAATCCCCAGAACCTGCATGGCAGAGGGAGAGAACAGACTCTAAAAGTTGCCCTCTGGTCCTATACACTCAAACATGGGCAAATGCACACTCACAAACTGAATAAATAAATGTAAAAAAAAATAAGGTCTGCAGAAATGTCACACAAGTGTAAGGACCTGAGTTCAAATCCCAACAACCCACATGAAGCTAAGTATGGTAGGGCAAGTTTGCAATCTCAGTGCTCTTCCTTTGCCAAGATGGAAGGCAGAAAGAGGGGAATCCTTGGAAGGCTGGAGGACAGAGAGTGTATGCAGTGTCAAACAAAAGAGAGAAAAGAGAGACCCTGCTTGAAGGAAGATGAAAGCCAAAATTGAAACCTGAACTCAGACTCTACCCTCCACAAAAACACTATGGCACAGCTGTGGCTGGACTCACATGTACACACACAAAGAAAAAAGATAATGAAGCCAAAGCTTAAAAACCTGAAGATTTCACATAAAAATCTAGACTTTGGCATTGCTTCAAAGAGAATGGCATTTATATTCTAAGATACTTTTCTCTGCTACCTAATCTAAACTAGGTTATCTCAGTACTCTCTATAAAATAGCCCCATTCCATTGTATAGTGTCCTGCTAAAATTGTTTATTTATTCTACTTTTTTGATAGTACTGGGGATTGAACCCAGGACCACATGTATGCTAAGCAAGAGATCTACTGTTGAGCTAGGCCCCCACTCCTCTTTTTACTTTTTATTTAGAGAGATTTTTATTTATTTATTTATTTTTATTTAGAGAGATGAGGGTCTCACTAAATTGCTTGGGCTGGTCTTGGAACATGAGGCAACCCTTCTGCCTCAGCCTCTAAAGTAGCTGAGATTGTAACTGTGTGCCACTATGCTCATTCACATTATGCTTGTCTTTGCAGTCCTAGGTAATGAACCCAGGACTTTACACATTCCAAGCAAGTACCCTATACAGAGCTATATTCCCAACTCACTCACCATTTATTTTATTCCAATGAACCAAAAACTTAAAGCTATGAGAAGAGACCCTATTGGTTTTAGACTCATAGCTCCAAAGAGGACTTCCTTGAGGCACTGGGATCTCTAGGTCATGAATTACCCCCAATTACACACAAAAGTAAATGTATTCATATAATCAATCTCTCTTCTTCCTCATCCTAGAAGCACATGGGCTGGCTACCTAACCTAATCCAATCCTAATCGTTTAGTATCCTGTCCCAGGTATTCATACAGGCATTCCTTATTCCTTGGTGACACCTAGTGAACAGTCTCATTGTCCCAAGTGCTGTTCTAGGTGCAAAGAACTGTGGGAAGAAGAGGAAAAGTCCTTTCCCTTGTGGTGGTAACATGCTGAGGGGAACAGATGGGTTTCAAGGGACAATTCTGTCTCTAGACCTATGGCCTTTAGTCTGTCCAACTGGTTCTTCTTGTCTTTTAAGGGTCAATGGCTGTCTCCTTGGTGAGATCTCCTTGGTAAAGGAGCCTTCAGCCAGATTCCTCACCCCTGACTTTCACTTACTGCCCCATGCAAACACAAGCTCCTGTATGCTCAGCACTGTAGCCCTCACCTCATCCCATGTGGCCATAAAACACCATCTTTCTAATCTTCCATGGCTCCTCACAACTGAGATACCAAAGCCAGCAAGAGTTACTGCTCTTGAAGCAAGGAAGCACCTCCCAAGCTTGGCACAGAGGCTATGAAAGCACTGGCCCATCGCTGTAGTTTCTAGAGTACGCATTCTATTTATGCACAGATTTAACAACCTATGAAGATAAAGGTACTGTCAACCACTAGGTAACTTAACATACTGAAAATTAAGACAAATAAAGGCCATTATAAAATATAAGTACAAAAAACCATGAATTTCTTCTTGTGCCCCTGATAGTAGGCAGTTAGATCTACTTCTTACTGACTGGAACATTTGGGAAGCTAAGGAACAGTCCTGGGCTGCAGGCTCAGCACCCACGGGGGGAGGAGATGACTGGTGTAACAGTCATCTTTACCTGGCAGGCTATTATAAGGACTGAGAATGGGTGTGAGTGCTGAACACTGTGTCTTTCACCAGAGTGCTCAAAACACACTAGCTACCCTTGTGTTCCCAGAACTAACCCCTCCCATCTGTTAACCTATCTTTGTGTTTAGCAATACTTAGTGGAAGAATCTGTGGTTAAAAGTGGAACTTCGATTACAGGGTCTTGTCACACTGCCTGGATGACCAGAATAAAAAGTAAGGGCAAACCAAGGGGGGAAAATGATACAAAAGCAAAACAGGAAAAGGGCAAACACCTTTTTCAAACAACTGTCGTCCCTTCTTTCTTCTTACAGAAGAGAACCTTCTACCTGTTTCTTCATCTGCAAAATGAGGATGTAGCTAACAGACTGGCCTGCTAGGCTGTGGATTCTAGATGTAATAACACTCCAATAAACTGAGTCACTGCTTAAGAGTTCTGGACTCACTAAAGTAAGTGACCTTAGACAACACTCCTGTAAAAAACGAGAATGATACCTATTTCACAGGACTGTGCAAGGAATAAATGAAATAACGCAAAGTATTCGGGGCTGGGACTATCAAAAGAACCCAATGACTGACTAAATTGCTAGCCTATTCACTGGACTTCAAATCCTCAAAGGTGGAGTGGAAAGAAACTAACACTGGCTCAGGAGCTGAGAGAACTGGGCTTTGTTAACCAGCGCGATGACCGCGGGCAAGTCTGGGACCCTCTCCAAACCTTCGTTCCCGGGGCCGAAAAGCGAGAGGACTGCCAGAGAGGCTCCCTGGGCTCCTACCAGTTCGTCCACTTCGCCGTGAAGGCTGCCGAGACAAAGGCCACCCGCTCCCTAGTCTGCACCCCGAGGGGGCCACAACTCAACATTCTTGCGGCTCAACTCCCTTTGCAGGGGGGCGGCGGCAGGAGCGCCCGGGTCTCCGGCCGAGAGCGCCGCGCCGCCGTCTCTGCCCGCTCCATCAGTAACTTGCTTTTGCAGCTGCTGCCCCCAAGTTTTCCAGAGCGCCTGGAGGAGACCCGGCTGTCAAGTCAGTCGCGGAAAGAGCAGGGGCGTGGGGGAGCCGAGCCCAAGAGCCCAGTCCGGGGAAACCCCGAAGCCGCTCCAGCGGCCGGCCCGGGAAGTGACAGGTGCGCCGCCGGCCGGCGACGGAGACCGGACGAACCCGAGCGAGCGCGTGTGGGCGCGCGAGGGAGGCGGCCGCCTCGCTTCCTCCTCCGGCC